ACTTCGCGAAGCCGACTGTGTTCTTCTTATCGGAGCAAGACTCAACTGGATACTACATTTTGGATTGGCACCTCGATTTAATAGCAATGTAAAAGTGATACAGGTAGAATAGACTTTGTATAACTCTTACAGAAACGTGACCAATGCCTATTCCTTGAGGTTGACATCGTTCCAGAAGAGTTCCATCAGAACGTGCCCACAACCGTTCCGCTTCTCGGGGATATCGGAGAGACACTTTACTCGGTAGGTTATTTTTTGAGTTGGTTATCCTGTCGTTAAGTAAGATCAGGAGTAGATACCGTCCGTTCCCACCACTCTCTTCCAACAAGCTTCAACAGCAGCCTCATCTCAATTTAGCTACTCTACGAATCTGAATACCCTAAAGCTTTACTGTCGCTACTGTCACCGACCTATTATGGCGGCTGCATGACTTATGCGAGTTCCCGAACCATTTGCGATATCTTACGTCTACCGGGTTTAAGAATTAATTGTAAAAGATTGGAAAACTCGATCAACCTTTCCAAGTGGTCGGGGGTGTCAATCAAAATTCTACTGTCATTGTTGACAAGAACATATCAAGGGAGTACAGCTGTTTTAACTGTAGATGTTAACGGAACTAGACGACTGGAAATATTCGGAGAATAGCAAGTGGATGATGGATTTACTAGCGAATGCTCAGAAAAACAGGTTTGATGGGAATTTCAAATAGCAACTGTTCTATTTACTTCACAAAGATGACCTTTTCAGAGACACTGTTGAACGTATGGCGGCTGACCATTCTGTTCCTCTCAACTACTATGCTGCTTACACGCCGGTCGGCTTTTACAACCCATCTACTACATTACTTTTTGGCCCAGTACTAATTTACATTTTTCTGCTTTCTAACTTTTTTCAGATCCGCAAATTCCTCGAACAGAGTGATGTCCTCGTAGTGAACGAAGGCGCGAACACGATGGACATCGGACGGACGATGATGCCGTCTGTACTGCCACGTAGTCGACTCGATGCTGGAACATTCGGTAAGAAAGGGGATGTGCTTCTACTGATATGATAGTTTTCATGAACAGTCGCAAAAACGTTTGTAGCCCCTCGAACAAGCCCTGTGATAGCTCCAGTAGTAGTTTACTCTGAAGTTCTGGCTAGGGCCTCAACAACAAAGAGACCGTCTGATTCCAGGTACAATGGGTGTAGGCCACGGCTACTCATTAGCGGCAGCTCTATATTGCCGTGATCATTCGCCAAAAACTAAAGTTCTTGTCGTGCAAGGAGATAGTGCGTTCGGATTTTCGGCTATGGAACTCGAAACTATTGCCAGGTACTCACTCACATCGTTTCCCAGAAGGCCAATAAAGAAAATTGTTTTGAAATTTGAGAAAATTTTATTTGATTGTCTCGGTAATCCATGATAATTTGAAATCCCTAGGAATGTTTGACGTGGATGTAACACGAATGGATAAGTGCAACGGAGGTTTTCCAAGTTGCTTCTATCACTAGCACTTTGAGTTATGATTAGTGTCCGGTTATTTAGAAGGAAATGAGCGCACGCTCACTTCTGCCTGCTGATAAGTGTATATGTATTCAGGAGAAGAAGTGCTGTACTGCTTTTTCCGCTTCGTGGGCGGGGTTTGTGAAGCCGGCGGAGACATGGGTGCAACACTGACTTTGGCGCTTAGTCTTGTCTACAGCCAAATGATATTGCAGCCACATTTCAGATTCATGAAAATGCTGCTCAACGAAAAAATGCTATATTAATACATATAATCTTATATGATATGATACCTAATGATACGTAAGTGGGACGTATTACTCAAGGAACGATTTTCAGGTATAAACTGCCCGTAGTGTGTGTCGTACTGAACAACAGCGGTATTTATCGCGGAATGCTACCCGAAGACATGAAATCGGTTGAAGGAGATCCGACCTTACAGTGAGTGAAGTGGGACTTCTTACATTGGGGTGCGCTTCGTTGCGCGCGTCCGCCGAAACTAGGTCATGCCGCAGCCGTCGCATGCGGCGGTCAGCCCGCGATCTTTGACAAACGTCGCAGTTGACAGCGGGGCATACGAATTGTGCTTGATCCACGGCATTCAGCCAAACGAGTAAATAACACGACCAAATGCAAACCATTTGTTCCACTAACACTTGGTGGTTCTGTAATATCATCTCGAGACCTCAGTGGGGTGTGCCGCGCGCAAAGTGGGCGGGGTGACCTACTTTTGACGGACGCGCAACGGACGTTCTCCCTCACATTGCTGGGATGATAGGTGGTCCTGTCGGACCGCCCCAAGGTGCTTTCCAGTTAGATCTACCTAACACCCCAGTACTGATAGGGTTCGGTCTCCGGAAGCGATATTGCAAGAATTTTCACTTGTTTAGGTATCCTGTCCTATCTCTGTCGGCGGAGTGTCGTTACGACGAACTGTGTAAAGCCCTGGGTGGAGACGGCTATTTCGTTCGCAGTGTTCCCGAAATTGAGCAAGCTCTCGCGGAGGTAGGCTGTTCCATTGTTAATAAACTTGTAGTTGTAATTGCTGTACATCCAGGCATTCCGAAAAACCGACGGTCCAAGCGTGATTAATGTGATCATATCAACAGATTCGGAAAGGAAAGCCCAGCTTCATCCATGGTTGGCTCGTTCAAAAGTATGAACCGTCCACTTCGTCTTCCACTTATGCACCCTTGCCAACTACCTCAAACTTGGGTCCAAATTTTTAGAAAATAAAGAGAATTGAACTTCTAGAATGTAATGCTTCCACTACATATATGCATTAAAGAGTAACTAAGATTCTATAAAGAAAATGTTGCTAACCATTTGCAGTTAGCGTCAGCGCTTTTATCCTCCCAGACAAGTCTATATCAACTGACCGATCTCGAAGTGTTGGAAGGCTTAGTCGGTCTGAGCGAGTATCAAATGGGGAATCGAATCTGGACCGTGCGTGTGCGATAGTGCGCCACTTGCCACTACACTACCACCGCGGCAAAATAAAGTTGCATTAGAATTTATGGCACATCAATTCAAGAACTGGCAATGCCACTTTCAGCAATTTTTCTTGCAATTTTTGCAATGCATTGCAATTTTTTTCTATGTTCATAACAATTCATTGAATTTCTTCCATTTCACAAAGTAGCTTACGTTATTACCTTTCTAATGATACTAAACTTTGGGTAGATTTTTAACATAATATAAGCGTAACTAGTCCGTGAATTAAACGTAGCTTTGCATTTACAATCACTTTTGGCACGGTGCATCTACAGACGAACTAGCGAAACAAGGCAGGTATTGCATTCAACCATAAGACGCTCTCGAGAGTTGGGAACAATTGCAGATAGGAGTGGTGAACCTAGGAGAGCTGTGGATATATTTAGGGGAAGTGTTAAGGAGGCAGGGCAAAGGTCTACGTAGGAGCAAAATACATTCTGAGTCCAAAAAAGCTAAATGATTGGATATGTCACGAAATTTTCTGCGTGAAATCGTGAAGCATCCCCTGCACAACGAGACCGTTATACGATCAGAAAGCGATTTCCCCAGAGAGCAGGTTAAAGAGAAGAGAAGGGTTGGCCAACAAAAGCTGCCTGTCGCATCCGGAAAAATTGTCCTACGGAATTCCTGTTTACCGACGAAAAGAGAATCACAGTGAAATAGGTGCTCAATAAGTAGAACGATAACATTTATATGAAGCTTAAAGAAATGAAAGTGATACAGCGCCTGGCTCACTAACTTTCTTTGATGGCCTGTGCTAGCATCACCGCCAAGGCAAAGACACCGATTATTCTTGTAAATTATGGAGTGAAAGTTGGTTTGGAGGCCCGTTTGATCTCTTCGTGCGCAATAGGACACTTTGGTGATTCGAACCGGTCATATTGTCACGATGAAGCTCCTGACCGCCGAACAGAAATTGTCCAGAAATTTCGTGAAAGGGGTTCTTTGACTTCATGACCTTCGATCAGTGACCACTCCGTAGCCCTGACCTAAATCCCATAAATGTCTCAATGTGGTCAGCCTCTGAGATGAAAGCATCATTTAGCCCAAACAAGAGAAGAAATAATCTCGAAAGTGTCAATGCCGTCCATCGTCGTCTTTGGGGTTGGGTGAAAGCAGAAAGCAACAGATCCCAGTCTCAATGTACAGTTTTGATAAGAAATTTGTGCTACTCCTTTAATGATATTGGTTTGCTCTATTGGCTTTCTATTCGTTTTCTGCGATGTGAATTCTGTGTAATCATAATTTTGGCCCACCCTGTAGATAAAGCAATTTCCCCACAAAATTGTAGCGATTATCCGTTTTCCACAGAGTAATCGTTCCGTTTTCTACTTACTGGTTAGAGGAAATACCTTCTCCTGTTTCACGTCATCCAACCAGGAGTTGGGAATATGATACAATATTTATGTTAATATATGTTTATGTAATCGAATAGACCAGTAGCATACATATATGTTCCCACATTAACAGCTCCATGAATTGGGAACATTATATAATTCGATGGATTCGATCAGGTCTTGGCCAACAAAAACTTCTCTCTTCATGAATCCGTGAACTACACAAGGTGTAATGGAAACTGTATTCGTTTTTGAACAACTAGAATAGCCAAATAGTCAATGGTAGAGCTACTTCTCCCAGATGAATCACTTTCAAGGGATTGGCTCAATTTCCAAACGAATGAAATCACTTCGGCAAGGTCTTGTAAAGATTAGCCTTTGATGGGATGCTGGCACTTCACTTTTGAAAGGGACGGAGGTAGTTTACTATCAAAGTAGTTATTCTCCTTCAGACCTCCTGAATTTGCAAAACCAAGTTGCTAGGTGGGGTATGACCTTAAAGACCCTATACAAAACTTGACAATATCTCTGAAAAGAAAGATCTTTTCGATTGAATGATGACACTTTGCTCCCTTGCAATTGAAATAGTAGAGTAATGATGTTTGTTGCAGATTTATAATACTTCAGCAATGGTAATGTAGAATAATTCCTAATACCTGTTCCAGAACATTATTCATAGTAAAATGTATTGCGCTACAAATCTTGTTCAAAAAAGTTTTTGCAGCGACTTCAATATCAACCGTCTTTTCACTGATTATTTCGTTCCTGAAACCTCTACCGTTATTTTCCATTTCAACAAAAGTCAGGCCTTTCTTCCCTTCCTCTTTTGTAGTGTTTGGCGAGAGCGTGAAAAATCTTACATTTTCAAAAGAAAAGTTGCCCTTGATGATTTGTGAAACATCCGTTTTTAAATTTATGTATATACATAACTGAAAACAAGAATTTCGCCACTCTATGCAACGATGCCTTCATAAATTAGGTCTCCGGAAAGAATTCGCCATTGCCTTCCTCCTCGAATCTGACCCGTTTACGGTTAGAGCTACCATCCCTTGATCTTGTTGGCCTTTTCGCTTCACCTGACGAAGCATTTTCATCGATACCTTCCAGGTCGAAAGCTTCGAAGTTGTCAAAGGATCCTGCCTGAAAAAATGGCAACTACACTTTTCCCAAATGTACTTGGAGCGGGAGTAGAGTACGGTAAGAATTGTTTACTACTACATTATAGCGCCAAGCAAAAACCTCTTGCATGGGGATTTGTTGAGGGTGGATTTTTGTGGACCGTGAAAGACGAAGGACTGCCCATCGATGCAAAAACTGATTTATCAACGTTAGGTTGGCAAAGGGTAGCAACCACCCTAATTGCTGGATCTGTTCAGACCAACTGGGTTTCCTGTACCGATTTTGGTTTTGAGTAGGACCATGTTCATTAGGCCGATGGAAGCTTATTGTTAGACATGATTGCCGACAGCCCCAAGGTTTACTAGAACTGTTACTTGACCAGATAAGTGCTTTATTGACAGTAAGGGTTTTTCATTTGGACAACTACCTTCGCAATTTAATCGGATTGGGAATGCATGGCGTAGAGCAAGAATTTGGTCCGCTCCGCTCTAATGCTCACTCTCGTTTAGCGAGAGTCCAGAATGGCCTTTTCAGGTAATAGATGTTTCAAAGTTATTCCGAGTATGAGCTCAGTTCTTCTCACACACCTCGACCCTCTTTTTTCTCGGATTACTGTAGCTGACTTACTGCATCTCTGAAAACCGACATGTCTTCTTTGTGGTGTTTCCTTCTGAGTGATCTTGATAATTTGATGATTCTGGCAGTCGGAGCAAACTTCGGCAAGTCAAATACCCTAGCCTGGCTTATCATTCGAGGTCTGAATATCAGAAAGCTCGCAGAGGGAGCCACAGTGTAGTCTAAGAGGTAAAGTGAAGTGCAAACCTGACACCCGTAACCGTTCCATCATTTACTTGACAAATCGTATGTTCAGCTAAAAGTAAAAGAGCGGCGATGAGAATGACTAGCATTCTAAAAAGGTATGGTTAGGCCAGTAAATGGTAACAGCACTCAATCAGCACTCAATTGATTCTTAGCAGATGCCTATTGAAGAACGTCTATAGAACCTAATGAGGCTTGAATCCTGATTACTATATTATTAATTTTCTCATCATCAATAAAACAGTTTTCTCTAAGCTCTAATTACGGTCATATTACTGTAAAGCAGCTGTGACAGAGCTATAACAATTTTACGAAAAAAAATGGTCAAAACTTGCAGCAGGTTAGAGAAAACTATTTATTAATGAAGAAAATTAAATGGAACCCATAAGTCAAGGTTAACAATGCAGTAATCAGGATTCAAGCCTAATTAGGTTCTATAGGTTATAAATGCCAGAAAACCAGCAAAGGAGATGTTTTATCTCATTTCCAGAACTATGTAAACAAACTGATAAATAAACAGATATACAAGTGTTTCCAGTTTATGCGCCAGTAGAGGAGCTAGCAGCAATAGCTGCCGTATGTTAGAGAAGCGAGGATGATGATAACGAAACCCGTCTCGTCGTCAGTTTTCACAATCGAAAAAACTTGATTTACCGATGATACCGTCGATCAACAAAATTTGAATTGCATACCATGTTATCGATAATTATCGGATATATTACCGGTTAGGATTTTAGGAAATGTTGCATTAGGTAGAGTAGATTGAAATAGTGCTACCAAATGCATGCATGGTCCAAAGATCGGATCTCGGAATGAATTTTTTACATTTCCTGTGAAACCATTAACTCACTAAATCGTTTTTTCGGTGCCAAATCAGCATTTGGCTCTGTTCGATCCCATTTTTGAAATGTTCCTTCGCATTTGACTTCCATACAGAATCGTAGTGACGTATGTAGCCTACACAATGACATGGGGTGGCAAGCCGATGTATAAGACACTGCGTTTATCCTCCCAGATGAGTATAGTACCAATTAATTGACCCCGGAGGGATGGAAGGCTTGGTTGGTCTAGACGGATATCGATCTGGGATTCGAACATGTGACCATGCGTGTATGAAGTGCGTCACTTGCCACTTCCTCCCGACTTTAACAATTTTAGTAATTAATACATCAGTGAATTTATTTTGAATTTTATTTTAATTCTTTGAAAAAAAATGACGATTGAACATTCATCAGACTTAACAAAGGTTATGATAAAATCGAGAAATAAGATTAGAAAGCGAGATGAATGATCAAGCAGCAAATGATGGTAATAGTGATAAGTAGCCAGTAATAGTAAAAGCTTCGATGCCACCATGAGACCCGTACCTGAGCTGTCATAGAAAATTATGCTAGCTACTATTCAAATGTAATGATAATTATTCTATGAAGAAAAATTACGAAAAACATGTACAACAGTATCAGAGCTAATTTTGCATGATGTCTCTACTGAGCAAAGGCCTGAAAATTATGGAAGCTTCTGACAATTCGTCCCCTTTTAGAATGTGCCCCGCATTCGACTTTCATTCCGAATCGTACTGGCGACAATGAATTGCGGTGGCCAGCCGTTGTACGAGTTCGTGATTTTATCCTCATAGACTAGTCTGGTGCCATTTGACCAGCCCCAAAGGAATGGGAGGCTTGGCTGATTGAGGCCGGTGTCGCGACCATAACTTTTTTTTAGATTGCCTTCAGTAGGTAGTCATGGATGCCAAATAATCTAAGTGAAACAACATATGTTCATATGCAATTAATCACCTGACTGTGGAAAAAAAGTCAATAGAAGCGAATTGAGATGCAGCTGACGCTGTAAAACTTGTCTGTGGCCACTTCGAATTTTTTTCTTGCAGTTTTTTCCTTTGCTGTATCATAGAGTTGGGTTTTTCCTTCGAGAGGTCATATTGAATGCCGTTGGTTCAGTACTGACCCCTCGCCTATATAGAAATGTCTGCCGGACCACTCTGAAAACACAAATATTGGTTTAAATTTATTCGAATTAAGCTTTCAAAGAAGACAGCGAAATATTTCACATCCATGGCTTGCTATAAGACACACATGGTCTGGGGATCGAGTCAGGGATCATACTCGCCCGCCTATCTGACCTTCCTATTCTCCGGTGTCGACTCATTGCTACAAGACTAGTGTGGGAGGATAGAAGCCGAGAGTTGTACATGTTCTGTTCACAACAAACCTGTATCGACCAAATGGACACCCACTACGATCCTGAACGGAAGTCTATTGCGGGACGCATGCCGAGGAAGCGATTAATTACCACTGGAAGCCTTACCTGTTACCCCTTCAATTACAGGGATCGATCTTTCCAGTATAGTTGATATTTGTCATTCCATTGCTAAGAACTGCGAGACAACTAGTCAAGACTGTCATCTAAGGAATGCCGAGCGGCGAGACAACTAGCTAGAAAATGCCGCATTTGGTGAGCGGATCCAACTCTTCCCCACACCACTCACTACTTTTCTTGGCCTTTTCTTTTTCAAAACTCCAATATAATCGTCAGTATTAGAAAAGACT